AAGGGGAAGTGGAGCTCAGCATCAGCTCCAATGACTGACTGACCCTCTCCCTAAATGGTGCATGTCCGCAAGCCCTTCCAGGACACCACCACCATGCTCTGCACCCATATGCCAGCCTGGGGCAAGTCATCCCCTTGATTCGAGGGCTGGACTGGGCACTGGCCTCCACACTGCAGCTGGTCTCTGAGGGGACGGCTGTTCTCCCACGGGTCAGGGCCTTGCCACAGAGGTTGTGGGTGAACATTGCCACAAGGTTCCATCATTTCTGCAAGGAAAGGGAGTACAAGTTGGCCTGCATCTGTGATCCCTGGATAAAAGGCAGCATTGATCTCTGGAAAGCAGAGCTTCTGCAATGGAAGCATGAGCTCTGCAAAGAAGTGCAGAGGCTACAGGCCGGCAGACATGGCCAGAGGGAACAGTGAGTGGAAGAGGCTAGGAAGGAGGAGAAGGAGCACCAGCTCGGAACCTCTGCCTTAAAGAGCCCAACAATGGAGAAGCCTTACTATTGGTTGTCAGCAGTGAACTGAGAGATCAGCATTGGTGGGGATGCCAGGTGTGCCATGGCAGAGGATTTGGCAGAGATTATGACGAGAGAACATCTCACTGAGTCCCTTAGGCCCGCCTCTGCTGATCCCCTGGAGTACTGGTCATGAAGGCTGCCATCTGTCCTGATCTCTCTTGTGTGGCCATGAGTCTCCTCTCCTGCCCTACCATCTGTGTCCAGAGTGAGTGGGTGTTCTCCCACTTGAAAGACATTTTCAGCCCCACCGCGCCTGCCTTGACCCAGCCAAAGTGGATGAGTTGGCCTTCCTGAAGGTCAACTTCTCCCTGCTGTGCCACCCCTCTCTGGACCTCATGGGATAAGATCCAGGCCTCCCATTTTCCCCTGGCATGCCCCACCCATTCCTCCTCTCCGGGTAATCCTGCATGCATCCTGCAGGTTGCACCCTTGACCCTTGGATGGGAGAATGGCCATCTTGGCTGGGTGGGGGTGGGCTTCCTCACCCAACACCTACCTCATGAAGCACCTACCTCAGAACACAACACCTACCTCATGATCACTTAAAATGGAAAACTCTGATTTCCACTGGTCTGGTGGGGCTGGGGTGCCCACCAAGTTGTCATGGGGTTACCTTGGGAAGCCTCTGTGGGATGTCTGCCTTTCTGTCATGGCTGGCATCACTAATCACTTTAAGTGGAAAACTCTGATTTCCACTGGTCCACTGGAGTGTCTGCCAAGCTGTCATGGGGTAACTTTGGGGAGACCCTGTCGAAACTCTGGGGATGTCTGTCTTTTGGTCCTTCAGAACCTGCCTTTGGAGGTGTGTGAGATGGGGGATGCTTGCCTTGCTTCCAGTTTCTGTTTGGGGGGGGGGGTCTGCACAGGTGAAATTTCCTTGTGAGTTTGGTGCCACTGGCTTCCAAAGACTCCTGTAACTGCAGCTGTCTTTTCCAGAGAGACCACTGGGGAGACCTTTCGGGTGGTCTGTAACTGGGACCACAGAAATGCAATCCAACCCCAACTTGGAGAGATGGTAGAGGAGCAGGTGTCAGGGTGAGGTTCCCTGTGCATTTTGTGTATATAGCTTGCTGGGGGTCCATTCTATACACTTTTGAACCTGTGCCTGACATTTCTCCCAAAAGCACTTTCCTCGCTTGACCTTAGTCTTGTTGGGTTTGCACTGCCACAGTGGCAAAGCTGCTTATTTCTGTGGCCATCATTACATCCTCTGACAGTGAATTCACATTTTAATCCCTCTCTGTGTAAAGAAGTATTTCCTTTTGTTCAGCCTGAATCTATTGCCCATCAGTTTCACTGTATGTGCTGGAATTCTAGTATTTTGAGAGTACATGGGGCGTGCGCGGAATGGCGCTGCGAATGAGCGTTCTTTCGGGACTCTCCCGAGAAGCCCGTTCCCTTTTTGCTCTTTTGAGACCCCCCGAACGTTTGGGGGGGCTCGCTTTGCTTCCTGGAGGGAGGCGAAGATGCAGGGGATGCTTTCACCTCGAATCCCGTCAATGGCGATCGCGGGGGTGTCGAGGTGCTGCCCCAGAAGCGGGAGCGAAGAAGGGAGGAAGCAGGGTTCCATGCTTCCCTAAGCAGCGACCAACCGTCTGTTTTTAATCTGATTAGTCAGCAAGTATACATCAGTTGATTCTTTCGCGTTTATTTCATGCCAAGAGAAAAGCAGTTCTGAGCCAAATCCCCTTAATTACCCCCAAGTATTGGAAAAAGTGGCTATGGAAGGACTGGGGGGGAGATGACTGCCGTGGAGAAAGGGCAAGAGAAAGGAAAAACCAGTTTTTCAGAACATTGTATGCTAAAAGAACGAATTGTAGAACAACTAAAATTACTGAATGTTAACTGACCACTGAGGTATTTAAAGTTTAAAGGAGCACTTCGGGAAGAAATAGAAAATGGCGGCGATAGAGGACGAAGAAGAGTTTGACTTAAATATGCTTGTAGGAGAAACTCACTTATGATCAATTCAAATTTTTTTTGTCAAAGACAATCAAACAAGCAGTGGAAACCGCTTGTAAAGACCTGTTTAAAGAATCACAGAATGAGCAAGCTAATAATGAAAGTATGGAAGAACTTACTTGCTATTCACAAGACTCAGTTGCAATACAGGGCTGTTCCCAGGAGATGGAGCCAGCAGACAAGAAGCTTTCAATTACACAGCATGTAGTAAAGGAAATGGATTTTGGTATAGGACAGGACAGAAAAGATCTATTAAGATTAAAGAAGAAAGCAGAAAGGAAAAAAGGAGATCCTATAAAAACTGTGCTAAGAAAAGGAAAGAAGGGTACTAAAAGCAAAAAGTTAAGAGACTGTGGAAAGGACTTTAAAATCTATAAAAGAAAGGCAGATGGACTATGGAAAAAAATGGTATTCCCCATAGTAATGTATTGCTGCGAGAGTTGGACTACAAGGAAGGCTGAGCGCTGAAGAATAGATTCTTTTGAATTATGGGGCTGGAGAAGACTCTTGAGTGTCCCTTGGACTGCAAGGAGATCAAATCAGTCAATCCTAAAAGAAATCAACCCTGACTGTTCCCTGGAAGTCCAGATACTGAAGCTGAAGCTCAAATACTTTGGCTACCAAATGAGAAGGGAGCACTCACTGGAAAAGACCCTGATGCTGGGAAAGATTGAAGGTCAAAGAAGAAGGGGATGGCAAAGGATGAGATGGTTAGACAGTGTTATGGATGCAACAAACATGAAATTAAGAAAACTCAGGAGCACAACAAAAGACAGGAGGGTCTGGCATGATGTGGTCCATGGGGTCGTGAAGAGTCGGACTCGACTGTGCAACTGAACAACAAGAAACATGTCCTCCCTTAGTCATCTCTTCTCTAAACTGAAAAGTTCCAGACACTTCAGCCTTTCCTGATAGTGAAGGTGCTCCAACCCCTTAATCATCATGGTTGCCCTGTTCTGAACTTTGTCCAGCTCTGTGACCAGAACTGTACACAGTATTCCAAATGAGGCTGCACCATAGATCTATTATAATTATAATATTGGCCATTTTATTAATCCCTTTCCTAAATAATCCATAATATAGAGTTTGCCTTTTTCTCTGCTGCAGTTTCTCTGGAGAAAATGGCTGCTTTGGAGGGTGGAATCCTGCTAAGGTTGCTTCCCACCCCAAGCCTCACTGTCCCAAGGCTCCACTCCCAAATCTCCAGGAATTTCCTAACGGAGTTGGCAACCCTAAGGGGAATTGATATTTGTAGCTGGGAGGCCCATTGCAATTCCTGAAGAGCTGCTGCCACCACCACTGCTGGGGTGGTGGTGGAAGCAGGTGGGCAACTGGGAGCACTGCCACCACTACTGCTGGGGGGGGTGGAAGCAGGTGGGCAACTGGGAGCACTGCCAACACTGCTGCTGTGAGGGGGGAGAAAGCAAGCAGGAGGCTGGGAGAGTGATGGGGCAGAAAAAGAAGGAGTGAATGGGTGGGGAGTGATGGGGGCAGAAAGAGAGAGAGGAGTAAGAAAAGGGGTGGCAGAAGGGAGAAAAAGTGTTGTGGGCCAGCCAAGGCTCAGCAATAGTGAGGACTCCTCAGGAGAAGAGGAGCCCCATGTAGCCAGCCTTGAGTTAACAAGAGAAGCTGACCAGCAGAAATATGAGCAGCAGGCTTGTCAGGATTCACAGCCAACAGCTGATGCAGAGCCACCAACACCTTCCAGCCCTGATTCAGCAGGTGAACCTCAGTTGGCTGTTCTCAGCCCACCAGTATCACCCTCCCCCTTAGAGCACCACAGACGGAAGCTGAGAACACAGCTACAGACAAGATGGCAGTCCATGCCTTCGGGCCTGATGCCAGCTGTTTGCTTCGGGCCTGATCACTTTAAGTGGAAAACTCTGATTTCCACTGGTCCTTCGGGCCTGATGCCAGCTGCCTGATGCCAGCTGCTTCTGGCCTGATGCAAGCTGCATGCCTTCGGGCCTGATGCCAGCTGTTTGCTTCGGGCCTGATCACTTTAAGTGTTGGGCCTGATGCCAGCTGCTTGCTTCGGGCCTGATGCCAGCTGCCTGATGCCAGCTGCTTCTGGCCTGATGCCAGCTGCATGCCTTCGGGCCTGATGCCAGCTGCAGATGAGTAGTTGCAGGATTGCTTCTGAGTAGCTGGCTGCAAGTATGACTCTTAGAAATGGGGCTATAAAAACCAGCCAAGAGAGGCTGTTAGGCATAGATGCAACACGTATGATAGATGCTAAGCCACTGCTTTGCTGACTTCTGGTCCTCTGACCTTGGACTGCACAACTCTGCCTTGCCTGAGGGGAGGAAGCAAAGGGGGGGGGATGGGATGCCACCCTGCAAGTTTCTTGTGGGTACCCCCTTGTTCTCTAGTACTCTCTTCTTACTAGCAAACTGACCCTATGAAAGGCTGAAATTTCCTACAACCTGGGGAAGTGGATGGTGGATGAAACAGTATATTATTATCTCACACATCATTCAATATCTAGAATAATTTTATACTAACAAAAATACATCACCTGGTAATTTGAAGACAAATTCATCAGCCACTGAGTAGCAAAGCCTGCGCTTCAGAATAAACAATCTATATAAAAAATATAAGTAGTCTACAGGAATTGATCCGTGGTAATAAATAATAAGACCTGGTCCATCTGGCAGGTTTTCTGTTCCATGTAGCTCATAACCTATTTGGAATACAAAACACAAAAGGGTTATTATTTCAAAATATGTAACAGTGCTTAACTGATTGATTATATTAGAATGTGGGTTCAGTTCATTTTACCATTGCCAAACACAGAATAGTCCTGTATATGATTCTGCTCTGGCTATATATTTTATTACAAAATCCCATATATTAGGTCCAGTTATTAACTTGAAATAAACTGTATAGATTAAAGGTTTCTTGCTTCATAAATTGAAGCATTTATTTTAACTATACACACTATGATTTCACCAAAATCACAATTCCATGGCAATCCATTTTGGGAACTCTTTATGATGGCATTAGCATTTAGATAATGGACAAGTATTTAGAGAAAAACAGACATTAATAGTTTTAAAGTATGTTTAGTATGAAGAATATGTCTTGCTGCATTGGTTAACATGTAACCACATTCATAGAAATAAGTCTGCAAATGGATCTCTGTCAATCTCTGATCCAGCAAGACAAAAGAACTCCAGTTTTCTGTCTGTCCCGGTGACCAGAAAAAAGCCCACATGAAAAAAGCCCACATGAAAAAAGCCCACAGAAAAACTCCCACAGTCATAAATGCTCACAGGAAAAAGTCCACATGGAGAGAAGCCTACATGAAAAAATACAATGTAAAGTGCCATAGATATTTATAATTGTGGATAACCATTCATTTCTGTTTATGAGAATGAACAGGTATTACCTATATTTAATATTGTTATTTTGGGATTAAAACATGTCATATTTACATGCAACAATTTCTGTTGTGATTTTATCAAGTATACTCTTAAATATAATAATTCCCTTACGTATTGACCATTTCCAGCTCTCCCATTGGTTGTGCAGTGCACTCCATCAGCCATTGTCCCATCAACTGCCACTCAGGAGTAATTGGCTGGGTGCTGGGTCTGCTCCTTTTCCCCGCCTACTGCCACCTCAGCCACTGGTCCCTGTCAGAATAACTGCTGTCTTTCCTGACGAAGACACTTCTCCTGCTTGGCTCCTGTGGGACTAACTTTTCCCTCAGCGGGTGCTGCTAGGCAACCAAGCTTGGTTCTGTCAGTAAAAAGACAAAGGAATGAAGCCCTTTCCAGGCCTTTGTGGAGAACTCATTGGGGCCAGTCCTGACTAGGGTTGCTATCTCCAGGTTGGGAACTTTGAGGGATGGAGAGGGTGAGGTTTGAGGAGGGGTGGGACCTTAGACAGGTACTCCACCCTCCAAATCAGCCATTTCCTGGGGAACCCCTTTTGCCATTCTCCAGGTGAGGGCTGGAGATCACTTAGAATTACAACTGCTTTCTAGGAGGGAGGGGGAGGAGATGAATAGCTGAAATCAGAGGGGCAGATAACAGCAGGTTGATGGTTGGCTGGGAGGGAGATAGGGTTGCCAACTCCAAGTTGGGAAATTCTTGGAGATTTGAGGGGTGGAGCCTGGAGAGGGTGAGGTTTGAGGATGGGTGGGACCTCAGACAGGTACAATACCATAGACGTCTTCCTCCAAACCAAAATAAATAAATAAATAAATAAATAAATAAATTTAACACCAAGCAGCAATCGTTCCATGCGGGGATTGGCCCTGAGACGCGACAAAAGGTGACGCTGCATGGCCGGAGCCAATTGGATAGAGGCCAGTGCAGAAAGTCGTCGCACAGTCGCAGACTATGGGAGCCTCCCCAGAAGGAGCCGCTGCAGAGCCCACCGAGACAAGACTCCACCGTAAGGAAGTGGCAGAAGGAAAAAGAACAAACACGCCGGCAGGGTGCCTGGTAGGCACTCACCTCCCTATATATACATTGTATGTGGCCCTAGTTAGGAATGTAAAATGCTTGTAAACCGCTCAGAGCCTCCGGGATTGAGCGGTATAGAAATTGAAAGTATAAATAAATAAAATAAATCTCCAATTGGAGGCTAGAGATCACTTAGAATTACAACTGCTCTCCAGGAGGGAGGGGGGAGGAGATGGAAAGCTGAAGTCAGATGGGCAGATTGATGGTTGGTTGGGAAGAATACAGGGTTGCCAACTCCAGGTTGGAAATTCCTGGAGATTTGAGGGGTGGAACCTGGAGAGGGTGGGGTTTGCAGAGGGGTGGGACCTCAGACAGGTACAATGCCATAGACTCCACCCTCCAAACCAGCCATTTCCTCCTGGGGACATTGTTGCCAATCTCCAGGGGAGGGCTGGAGATCACTTGGAATTACAAGTGCTCTTCAGGTAGCAGAGATCAGTTCCTCTGGAGAGAATGGTGGATTCTGTGTCATTATACCCTGCTGAGGTCGCCACAGTAAATTGACACTGAATGCCCAAGGCCGGGGCACTCTCCCGGAGCCTCTATCTAGAGCTTGTTGTATTTATTTCCTAGTTAAATAATGATTTTGCTATGTTATTTGTAAAGTACTTTATTACTACACAAAAGTGGTCTGTATGAAGAGGGCTTTAATGCTCGAGTGTAAAGACTTGGAAGGGAAAATACAAGAAATAAAAGTGACCCTTTTGTTATCAACAAACTTTATTAAGAAGGAAAAGAATAACAACAGAAAATAAACTCTATATAGAAATATTTTTTAAAAAAATTAAATACTTTAAATTTATTAATTTACCATTTGTCAACCTTTGTAATGTTGGTATGAAGTAATTTCTAAAGTAAAGACAGAATGATGTTAAAGTATATTATGTATAGACTGTCTAGTATACACAGCTTTTGAACAACTATATGGCTTAAAATTCTTCAAATAATTAATACGATTTACTTATTTTGTTATTAAACAATAAGTCAATTTCCTAGCTTGCTTTCCCTTTACTTGTATTTTAACAAATACAGTATGGTACACCCAGTGACCATGACAAATAGGGTTCCCAAGTACTTATTGCGATTCAGCTGGGGACACATGATCCCCGGCCAGAACATTCCTCCCTGTAATGCACCATGCCGTCTCCAGGAAGTGACGCTGGGCGACGCTCTGACAATGGGGCTGAAAACTCAATGGTGCCATCGAGTTTCCAGCCCCATTGCCAGAGCATCACTTCCTGGTGACGGCATAGTGCGGCGCGTCTGTTGTCCACCCAGGAATGGTCCTGGGAAGAAGTATGTTTCCTCCACTGAATCACGGTAAGTACTTGGTAAGCCTGATGACAAAAGACCACCTAACCCTAATAGAAAAAGCAACAATTATTTAACAACAACATTTAATAACAACAACAATAATAATAACAATAATTTAAAGACCACCTAACCCTAATAGAAAAAGCAACAATTATTTAACAACAACATTTAATAACAACAACAATAATAACAATAGTTTAATAACAACAACAATAACTCTAAAGATAATTCTTCATTGCAAATTAGCCAATTTCCTTAAGTAATTAAATGTATCTATGACCTGATCATATTGCTGCACAGAAGTAGCAACCATGTAGTGCTTCATATTTCCTCTTTTTCACCTCTAGGCAATCTGCCTGTGCATTAGCTAGTGTTAGTTTGTGGCAAGCCAGGTCCCTCTGCAGTCCATCAGACAGAGACCACACCCTGGTGTTCCCTCTAAGCTGAGTTAGTGTGAGCTAGCTAGCTAGCTCAAATATATGCTACAGACTTTCTGTGATTACTCACGGAAGAGATCTTGGTGTCAAAGGAAATACCTTTCTGAAAACTCAATTCAATACTAATTAATAAATGTCAGGGAACCCAAGCCTCGGTCCCTCTGAGCCACTGCCTCCCAGATTGGTAAGCAGTGCTCAAAAACTCGTGGGTCCCTGAGGTTAAATGAATACAAGAAGATCAAAACCTTTAGAAAAATACACACAGGTTTATTGAGAAAATAAAATTAAAAATACTACTAAGGCAACACAGTCTCTACAGTTAATTAGCAAAGAACACAACAAAAGCTATTTTTTTTCTTTCTGGCACTTTAGTACCTGGCATTAACTGGTGTACCAAACTCCACAAAACTCAAGAAGACAAGTGAATTCTATAATATAGTCTATGATGTCATCATTGTCTTTGTAGTATTGTTTAAAATGAAACCTTTGCAGAAAAACAAATAGACTTAGGCAACAATATGGTATAGGTATGGTCAGGAATATTACTCATTTCTATTTGTTGCCCTACTTGTGAGCTTCTTGGGAAACTTAACTAATCGCTGTTAAGCACAGAATGCCAGGGTAGCTGGACCCTGTTGTGAAACAGAAAGGCAATTGAATTTTTTTTAGTCACTGGGAACTGCAAGGAAACAATATCCCCTATACACACACACCTGTGGGGACACCTAGGAACTGAGAAGTATAGTTAGAATGGAAAACCTAGAATGTTAAACTGAAACTAGCCTGATCCGACAATTGGACAAAAACAGACTGGTTTTTTTTAAAAAAAATCCTCAGCAAACATGGAATTTGACCAGCTTTATCAAATCTTTCTTCAAGACCATAAAGAGTCTCCCTTATCTGATTTACAAGCTATTTTCTAGTCAGAACGACCCACTAGTGACTAAAAACCGAAGAGTAGGAGATCAATTCATCAGCTTATCTCAATGTTACTTTAAAAAGCTAATAAAACAATGAACATAGTTGGTTATGCTAGGTTAGGCTAGGGGAGCAGCAGTCCCGGAGGCACCTGCTTGAATGCTATTTAACATTTACATACGCCTCCTCCCCCAGATTGTCCGGAGGTATGGGCTTGGGTGTCATCAATATGCCGATGACACCCAGCTCTACCTGATGTTGGGCGGCCAGTCGGACTCCGACCCGGAAGATCTTCACCAGGCTTTACAGGCCATGGCTGGGTGGCTCAGGCTGAGCCAGCTGAAGCTGAACCTGGCGGTATGGGATTGGAGCTCCCGCTTCCAGCCTTCGATGGGGCACCTTTGATGCCAGCTTCGGAGGTTAGGAGTCTGGGAGTGCCCCTGGACCCCACCTTAACGATGGAGGCCCAGGTGGCGGCCACTGCCAAAGCAACCTTTTATAATCTACGGCTGGTGCGGCAGTTGGTCCCCTTCCTTAGCCGCAACGATCTGGCCACAGTGATCCATGCGACGGTCACCTTGAGGTTAGACTACTGTAATGCTCTCTACATGGGGCTGCCTTTGTCGCAAATTCAGAGGCTGCAGCTGGAGCAGAATGCTACGGCCAGGTTGGTAGTGGGTGCCCCTAGTTTGGATCACATCCAACCGGTGCTGAAAGCGCTGCACTGGCTGCCTATAGCGTTCCGGATTCACTTCAAAGTGCTGGTGCTTACCTTTAAAGCCCTACATGGCCAGGGGCCGGCATACACAATCTCTGAAGATGGGATGGAGATTATAAAGCCAGTGAGTCTAAATTCATCCTGATGTACTTCCCATATAATCCCGCTCTTTCCATCATCATATCTTTCTACCCATACAGCACCCAGACAGAACCAGCAGGCATACCAAAAGGGAGAAATAACTCCTTGCAACTGATCAACACAACCCAGTCCAGCAAAAACAGCATTACAAAGCATCCCTGCCTCCTACGAGTTTAGGGGCTAACCAACAAAACACACTACAAATTAAAAATATAGACATCAGCCCTATAGCAAAAACACTCAGTCAGGGGTACCAGCCAAGGCCAGAGTACCACACTGCAAATATTCTGTGGGGCTGCCTTTCAATACTGCCTCAATGAAGCCACTTCAGGGAAGAGGTGACTCAACAGATAGGTTTTCGTTCCCTCTGTTCAGGTAGCCTGAAGCAGTCAGGCACAGTCAGATGCATTAATGGCAAAAAAAACCCTGAAACGTAGTAGCTGTCTAGAGGGCTCTATGGACTAACTCCTTTCAAGATCAAATCTCTCTTAAATTTCCTAAGGCTGAGACCACAGCAGGAGTTATCTATCTACATATCAGAGTCCATGTGGATTCTGAACTGAATATGTGTTTATTTAATAAATACGTCATTTATATCTCAAGTGTACAAGGTGATTTAGTTTCTGTTTTGACTGACAGTTGTACATCAGGAAGAGTTATTTTATCATTCCACATTATTATTTCTTGAGACAAATAGTATACAAGGTTGCCCTCTATCTCATCTTATTTTTGATTTATGGTTGGAACCTCTGGCTTGTGTTATTAGACTAAATAATAATATTTACAGCTTTATATATAATTGTTTCAAATTTAAAATTATTCTTTATGCAGAGGATCTATTATTTATTTTAGAACCTCAGTCTTCAGTTCCTACATTAATAAATATGAGTAATATCTTTGGAGTAGGCTTGCCAAGTCCCCCCGGGGGGTGGGGAAACCCCCGCCCCAGAGGCCCGTTACCCGCCGCCTGCGGATCGGGCCACGGGGGAACCCCACCCCCAAAGCACGCGACGTGCACGTCACCCGGAAGTGACGCA